ATAAAATAAAAAAAAATGTATATCAAATAGTTTTGTAATATATTTGTATACGTTTTACCCTCTTGAGTAAAAATTATGCTAAATGTCCCGTTTGTTATCTGGTAAATCCTGGAATTCCTTGACCTACAAACTTAGATATAGTATTCTTCAACTGATTCAACTCTTGTTTAATCATTTTTCTTCATCATCCCAACGTGGAGTTTTCAAGTAACAAGTACCCTGTTATTGCTCAGAAACAAATGAAGATCATGTTTCCAGGTGCAGTGCAATTCAAACTATATTTCAAAAGCACTAAAAAAGATTCATGAGAAATACTGAGGTAGATTGATACACTTTACTAAAATAACTAATTATAGCAACCTTATACTAAAAGAATAAATAACTTGCGCACTTGAGCAATCTGAGTAAAGCAATCGGCGAGATGCTGGTATATCATCGCTGGCCATTAAATTAGCTATTAAAATTGGTGCCGAGATATTGATACAGAGTAAATGTACTTCATCTGTACTGGATACATACTTTGAAATAAATCACACTTTGATGAAATGCGAGCGCATCGAGTAACTGAGATATGCGTTTCTGCACATTACACTGATAATATCAACAATGGTGGAATGTGTCAGCGTGGTAATACCAATAGTTGTGAGGTAACAATGTTGAATTACTTCAGCGTGTTACTTTGTGACTAATTTAATCCCTGATATAGACAATTTTCTACACCTGTTACCACGGGTAATATAATTCACAGCCACTAATGCAAACTGCACATAAATCTAACAAGCTCATTGTAGCAACAACAAAAAACTGACAGATAAAATATGTTACATTACTGCAAATATTGTCCAATTTACGTCATGTGTAATTCAGGCGAAAACGACCGACTGACTTCAAATGATATGCATCCAAAGTAATTATAATTATAAGAATACTGTAAACTGCTCTACTTTCATGAGACTACTACGAAATTTTGTATCAGTGAAATCTTTATTGGAATGTTCGAGACACAAGTTGTGTTCACATTACATGAAGTACGGGCTAAGATTTAAGCTGATTTAGGCTTATCTAGCATATTTGCATTTCGGCTAGACCAAATTGCGTCCACGCACAGGGAGGGCCAGTCGTTAGCACGGGCTAAGGGCTGCCATTAGTTGGTGACCTTTGGTAAGCCGCTATTTACGAACGAAAAATGGATGACACGCGCGAGGTTCTATTTCTGCTGCTGGCATGTTTCGTTCTAATTTTGAAGCGACGTGCACAGGAACGCGAGAGAAGACGGACCACTTATTTGGATGCACATAAACAGTATACAACGGGCGTAACAGAATACAGCGTTTTATTAATGCATGTCGTAGACAGCGAACCAAATTTATTTTGTCTACGATTGGAGCTGCTGTACGCTCTACTACAGTGACCATTAGTGTGGAAGTGAGCGCGGAGTAATGACTGGTGGAATAGTGTCATTATACGAA